CAACCTAAATGATTCTATGATTCCACCTGTATAAGGTGTCTTGCTTTGTGTGAACAAAGATGGGATGCTCCTGGGGAGACCATGGACCTCACGGTCTCTCTCTCCAGAGCACTCTTGACATATAGAACTTTAGATCCACCTAGTAATCAAAGAAAAGGGTAACCAATTTAAGCACGTTTCCTATACTGCAGTTCCAGTTAGTTGTCTGCTACTTCACTGGGTACTTAAATTCATCTTACAGTTCCTTAGAGGAACAGTAACTGTTCACATCTGAAAGAGAAATTGGCAAGAGCTTTTTACTGTTGCCATCACTGAAACTGAATACCTACTTATAAAGCCCAAACTTTAAGATGGGAGAATTTTACAATGTTACTGAATTTCCAAAAGCTTTTTGCTTTGTTGTTGTTGTTGTTTTTTTCTTTTATTTCCACATTGGTTTGTTAAAATGTAAAGCTATTTATACTTTCAAAAACAGTAGCAGTGCCAAAAACTTATTTACAGAACAGACACACCACAGATTGTGATGGGGTGAATGGCCCTTTTAATACCCTCTTTCTGAGAGGGCTTAAAATTTAACTACAGTAATATAAGACCAATATTCATATAACCTTTACACAGAAACTGAGGGAAAATGAGTGACAATTATAACACGATTACTTGACCATAAAAACTTGGACCATTGCTATAAAAATCTCCGTTCTTGCTAAACAAAGTATACAAAATTTCTGTCCCCGACCCTGCTCCACTAAAATCAAAATAAAGAACTGATAGGAACAAATAAAATAACATACAAGACATACCCAAACATGTTTTTGCAAATTCGAAATTGTTGAAAAAAAGAAAATAAAAACTAAATTTACTAAATAAGCTATTATATGCTTTATATCAATGTGAATTGTGGATGGACTGTTTAATCACAATTTTTTTTTCTTAATAAGCATACTGAACACAGTCTTGGTTAATGACACATGAATTATAGAAGTTTAATTAGAGTCAGAGCAAAGCTTCACATTTAAAATAATTTAAAAAAATATACAAAACTACAAAACTACTTACTCCACTGCTTACTGGTCCAAACTGATGGCCTGAGGCATCTGGTTCTTCTAAATACAGAGTGTAAAAGTGTGGTCTATATCAAACAGTACCAAAAATGTAATATTTTACATACACGTAGAGACAGTTTGAAGAGATTATATTTCAACAATGGATATCAAATGTTGGAAACAACGCTGTCATACAGAGGAAGGACATATTCAATAATAACATAATAAAAATTAATAAAGTTAACTTTCAGTCACAGAACTCAGCTTGCAATAATATTTTAACATTTTTAGAACAATGCATAAGATATTGTTTAAAACAGAAATCATATTTACAAAGTAATTAATTGCAATACCACTCAAGCAGGAACTTACACGTGCAGTTGTACACCTACCTCTCATCTTCAGGCAGCTGCAGCCAGCGAAGAACAGTAACCACCCTTTCTTCAAAGGGTATGGAGCTGTATCAAAGCATTACACGATCAGCCAACCATGTATTTCCAAGAGCTAAAACATTTTAGTCACACAGTACAAACTCAATGTAGTTTAGCAGAGAAAATTGAACTCAGCTGGATGCCATTAATGACTATTTAGCAGAATGCAATTTTATCTATGCTAATTGCTTCTGACTCTGCAGGAGTTAATGGCCTGATCTAGAGCTCCACTGAATCATTGATTGCGATGTGATCAGAACAGAGCTCCCAGTATTGCTTATGTTTATTATACAAAGAGAATAATTTGCTTCAAGGTGCAAAATCATGTGCTGACTTTCATTCCTGTATTATGTTTTGAAAAAGTTTTGGTTTGGGGGTGGTTTCTGTTTTTACATTCTTAAACACTTTGAATACAAGTTCTCATCCTGTCATGAAGTAGATATTTTACATCATATATGGAAGTAGACCAACAATGAGCATAATGACTTGTAACAACAGGAGGCACCCACAAAGTTAGTAATTCAGCTACTTAACACAAGTTACAAGTATAGATTCCTAGAGAAAGAAAACATAGGTAGAAAGTCAAGAATCAGAATTTTCATGCTATATGAAGGGTGTAGGAAGAGAAAATGACCTTAGGAAGACAGAAATGAAAAACTGGATTTATTGGGTGAGATTTGTGATTATTAATTAAATGGTGACAAATAGATTTATGTAGAATTTTAATTATGCAAAAAATGTTTAATTGCAGTGAAGAGCAATCACTGACTAAAATATTACTTCCTTAATGTGAAGTATTTTCAAAATTTGCAACAAAAATAATTTTATATTAGAACAATGTGCCATAGTCAACAGTATAGTTTTCACAGACAATATCATCTCAAGACCTGATCCATTCACCACATGAGAGTTTTGGATTGAATGACTAAATGCACTCACAAAAGATTTTTATAAACAGAAAAGCACTAAAGTTTCAAAGCTGGCTGCTCTTAAAGCTAATTTTTCCACATGCATCCTGTAAAATGTTTGCTGAGGAATGACAAAATGCTTGGACAAGAACTACATTATACTGAAACAAAGTTAACTGGATCCTATCTTTTTGTACGATGTGTACAATGATTTAGAAAAATGGGAGGAAAAAAAAAATTATGCTTTTTCTAGCATCTGTCCCCTTGCAACAGTCAAAGTAAACACTCATCTCAGACACAGGAGTTTACATACCTATTGTATATTTCATACAGGTTTGGAAAGGTTCCATTAACTGCTACATCTGACCCAGGCCAAAAGAACGTAGCCGCTTTGAGACCTTGGTACATAGCTGTTAGCCAAATCTGAAGGAAAAGAGCAATCACCATCATTAGTACAGCTCGCTGAATTAGCCGAGTAACTGCCAGATCCATTACCACCCCCACCAGCTCTGCACCTTCCCATACATTTAAAAACTAAAAAAATGCAAGCAGAGGCCACCAGAGAGTCAATCTTGCACATCGTCTCTATCTGCAGCCCAGGTATACCTTGCCCCCTGATTCCTTATGGCAAACACAAAATTCCTTCTGCTGCTACAACAGAGGGAGCCAGGACAGAAATACAAACCATTAGCTCCCGCAGATGGAGCAGTAATGCAATGGTAGAACCATGGCTGAACATCAGGAAGGGGAAATTACTCAAGAAGAGTGAAGCAAGAAGGAGCGGGAATGCTCTGAGGGTGTGTGCCCCACATGCTCTGAAATATGGGAGCCAGACTCTGGTCAGCTCTTCTGATTTTACTGCTAACCTCATGACTTGCAGATTTCTGCCTGCCTTCTGCACGTACTCCTGTCTGGCTTACAACACTTTTTTTTTTTTCTCATTGGCCCACAAAAATCTATGCTTATGTGTTCTTTCCTTAAAAAAGAAAAAAAAAAAAAAAATCCAGTCCTCTCCCACAGTGCTAAACAGTTAACATCTGTTCCCTTGCTCCACTTCAGGCCTGTTCTTCAGGCTACCACTCACCCCAGCTTTTCCATGCCACTTCATTTTGATGGCAGTCTTTGATCTGCTGAATGATTGAACTAAGCCACTTTCTTTTAAAGCTGCAACTTTAGACATAGTAGTAATTTGGGTAGGGTGTAAACCGTTACTACTGCTTATTACTGAAAGTAACTGGTCTGTCAGTTTCCTCAGAGAAGTTAACTGCAATCCCACTTCATAGAAAAAAATAAAAAAAAAATTTAAAAAAATCTGGTATCTCAATTATTTTCAGCTATTTTTTTCCTTAGAGAAAATTCCATTTAAGTTCAACAAAATCTGTTACCCTTTGTTGTCCCTGTATGGGAATTCCTAATGATGCTGAGTAAGACTTCTTGGCTGAGTTGGAAGTACCCTCTGTACTCTTTCAACATCACTATGCATGCAACTGATATTAAGTAATAACAACAGGCTGATGTACATGTGCAGCAGTGCATAAACACTTACAGGCTGTCCTTGGTACCACTGTGGATTAAACTTCTCTTCACTTTTAAGGGTGAAGAATGCATTTCTTTTGGGGTCATACATCTTGTTATCAATTATACCATGAGATTCAGGATACAGGCCCTGTAATTGAGAGTATATCTTGTTGCAACGTTATAAAGAAAATGAACCTTCTGGCTACACAAACAGATGTCCATCAGACAAATACAACCAGTGAATAATCTTATGTGTATGACTTCTGCTCCACCAATACCTCAAGATCCAAATTTAACAGCAACACCTATCATTGCTACCAAGCTCTACCTCCCAATTCTTAGCTGCTTCTCAGTGAGAAGCAATTAAAAAATGTAGACAAGCAACTTGTTCTGGGATCAAACCAAAAGAAATCATCTGAGTTCATGCATATGTTGCATCTTTAGCAGAAGTGACAAAGCAATTATCTATGCTGGACCCCCATCATACAACCAAAATTTGAGAATTTGAAAAAGCAGAATTGCACATCAGCAGGTGAAAGCTCTAGCTGGTGATAACCATTACATCAGCAGTGAAAGAAGTGCTCAGAGGCACCAGCTGTCAGTAGCTTTAACAAACTTTGTGCTCTGCCTTCAAGCAGATGAGCTCCTTCTTACATTGAAGAATATAACACCACCATTAGGACTCTGATTAACACCAGGACCTGCTACTTTTCGTAAGAATGGGGGGCCAAGACAAAGCTCTGTACTGTATTTAGGGACACCATCACAAGGATGCAGGGCAGGATTAATGCCTCTAAGTTAGCATACTCAGTCATGTATATTTGAGAGGATTACACAGTATAAAAAAATTGTACCTGAACCTGTGTTCCTCACTTACCAAAAGACAATCCTGACAAACTGGGAAGATAGGAAAGAAGGTGCAGATCCTCAAGTAGTTGACTGAATTTTAATTCTGACATAATGAAACTAAGAAGGATCTACTGGATTCCAACCCTACCTTTGGTGTTGAAAAAACTCTTTACACTCAGGAGGTAATAAATTTACAAAATCTGTTTTGCACCATTCCTATCCAGGTTTGGGTACAGACCATCACAGAGTCAACTTCAATGTTATGTTCAAACCTTTTCTTTCTTATCATACTCTTCTTTGTGTCATGACAAGCTACCTTAAAGAACTGGAACACGGCTGACAATTTAAAGGAGTCAGACTGCTCCTACTTTGAGAGAGAAAGCTATCTGCAGTTTAGTGAAAATATTTACACACATGAGGAGTTGTAAAGTGATGTGACCTTTTCACCTATATGGGAATTCCTGTAGCTAGTCTTGGAAGGATTGGATTGCTTAATCAGATTATATCTGACCACTCAGCTGTAGTGTTATATAATAACTGTTAATCTAAATTAGATAAATAATATAATATACACATTTTCATATTCTGAAGGGAAATCATAATAATTCATCAAAGAAATATAGTATGTCCTTGGAGACAACTTAAGAATGAATGGTCTCTTCAGGAGTGGAAACATAATATACAGCAGCTCTTACTGTGACAATGGAGTAATGATTGGGGAAGGTTTTTGAAGGATACACTGGTCTCATACTGGAAGTGTATGTTCCACATTTCTCTAGAGGAAGAAAGAAAGAAAATCAGCATAGTTACACAAATAATAAAAAAAAAAAACCTTGCAAGTTTCTTTTACAAAGACATATATCTACTAAAATAATAGAAAAACTAAAAGATATCTCCAGAAAGTTTTTTGTTCTTCAAAATTCTAGAGTTAATACTTCACTTCTCTTTCCATGTTCATTTACAAGTTGACTGAATATATCCCTAATAACTGACTTCAGTGATCACACGAGCAAAACTTACAGTCCTTGTGAATATCATGCACAGGTAAGAATGAATAATCAAAGAAATCACACCCTCAAAAATTGTCCTGGTATGTGGTAGGTGAAGTCTGCAGCTTGAGACCAACCATCTACTTCATCCTGGGTGCTGCCAAAGATGAAGTGGCCACTGGCACCGTGATGCCCTGGCTCTCTGTCACCTGTCAAATCTCTATTTATTTTGCAGTCTCATTTTTGTTTGTTGCTTGGTTGTTTTGTTTTAATAAAACTAAGCTCTACTTCAAAAACAAACCTCAAAGTTTTCTTTATCTTGACACAAAAATCACAGTTTAACGAGATCAGTGCACAGTATTTGCTAGTATTAAGAGTCATTAGCCAGGACAAAGCACTTAAGGAAACCTTACTTAAATTATGTGCCTAAACTTCAATGGGCAAATCTATGAGCCCTGATTTTCAGTAAGAAAAGAAAAAAAAGCCCCTCCAAAAAAGCCTTAATGACTTCAGAAATACTATGTGATAATCAAAACCACTTCAACTGATGCTGAAATGACAAAAGTAATGACCCTGTAGATAGACTACCATTGGGCTGTCTTCACTGGCCCTCTGGGCCATTATATGTAATATAAATAAAATAGAAATTAAAGGTTTGATTATATAAAAAGTGTTGCATCAAGGTACTTTGAACTCATTGGATTATTTCAACTGAGATCTAATCCAAACCCACAACTTGAGTTAACTGAGATAAAATGAAGCCGAGCCAGAAAACGAAATTATTGAATAGTTTGGGTTGGAAGGGACCTTAAAGATCACCTAGTTCTATCTCCCCTGCCATAGGCAGGGACACTTCCCACTAGACCTGGTTGCTCAAAGCTCTGTTCAACATGGTTTTTAACACCTCCAGTAATGAGCGTCCACAACTTCCCAGGGCACCTTGTTCCAGTGTCTCTTCACCCTCATAGTGAAGAACATCTTCCTAATTTCTAGTCTAAATTTACCCTCTTCCAGTTTGAATCCATTAGCCCTCATCCTACCACCACAAGTACTTGTAAGTCCCTCCCAAGCTTCTTGTAGGCCCCCTTCAGATACTGGAAGGTCACAGTAAGGTCTCCCCAAAGCTCTCTCTTCTCCAGGCTGAACAACCCTAGCTCTCTCAGCCTGTCCTCGTAGCAGAGGTGTTCCAGCCATCTGGTCATCTTCATGGCCCTCCTCTGGACCTGCTCCAACAGGTCCATATCCTTCTTTTGCAGAGGACTCCAGAGCTGGACACAGAACTCCAGGTAGGGTCCCACAAGAATGGAGCAGAGGAGGACAATCACTATGCTTGACCTGCTGGCCATGCTTCTTTTGATGCAGACTAGGATACAGCTGGCCTTCTCAGCTCACACATTGTTGGCTCATGTCCAGCTTTTTGTCAACCAGTACCCTCAAGTCTTTCTCTGCACAAGTATTAACAATCCATAGTCCATCCAGCCTGTATTTGTGCTTGGGATTGCCCCAATCCAGGTGCAGGACCTTCCACTTGGCCTTGTTGAACTTCATAAGGTTGTCACGGGCCCACCTCTCAAGTCTGTCAAGGTCCCTTTGAATGGCCTCCCTTCCCTCCAGCGTGTCAACTGTACTATACATCTTGGTGCTGTCTGCAAACTTGCTGAGGGTGCACTTAATCAGCTTTTCCTCACAATGCCCAAGAAGTGTTCTCCAGCTTAATTTATTTTATAATTGCATCTAACGAAATTGTTCCAAAGGGCTCATCTTATTCTAACGCAGCACAAAATGGAAAAAAAAGCTAAAACCTCAAATACATCTGTGAATTGTTATCCTCTGGAACAGATGAAGTTATAACAACCACTATACAAAAAAAGCAAGTATTTTTACTGATTTATTTTTAGTCAAACTGAAACCAGCCACCCCAGGTAGTAATTTATGAATGACAAGAAGATTGGCATATTTTTCAGACAAGGAATGCCACCAGTTGTATACAGACCACAGGCAAAATAGAGACAGGAAAAGCAACTAAAGTAACTTAGACACTACAAAGTTAAGATACTACAAAAGCTAGGGAAAAATATGTATTTAGGAGGCTCTCATTTCTTCCGAAAATATTTGCCAAATGAAGGTTTTCTTCGATTCAGCACATTTCTACGGGTCCTTCTATAATAGCTGCTCTTAATCTCTTCCTTCTCTATCTTTTTACAAACATAATCTAATGCTTTCTACCTTGCTTTCCATTTTCCAAAGCCGTTCCACCTAAATATGAGACAATATGCCATACAGAGTGAAAAGCAGGTCTATTTTTACTTTGAAGAAATAAAATAAGCTCACAGCAAAAATCATCCACCTTCTAAAATACAGCAAGGGCTACTTAATAATTTTTAAGGTTTCACTGAAAATCCGAAGGGTTGTTTCCTCATATCTTCCCTCTGTTTCCCCTTCCTCCCTCCCACATCTCAAGTTCTTTGTGCACAGCTGTTATTCAGAACAACAATTTCAATTTCCATGGAAGAAGAGTGAGCATTTTAAAGAGTAAGCATAGCTACATCTATAGATATTTAAAGACATCATGATATTGTTTAGACAATGAAACTACTCACGTAATTTGCTAATAACAGGTAAAAGTCCACCCCAAGTTTGCAAATATTCTGCTCTGAAGCCGTCCAATGAAAATAGTAACACCGGAGACTTGGTAAATCTGAACAAACAGAAATTGAAGTATTAAACGACAGACTCTGAGAAATAATTTCCTACAATCTATTTCGAGAAAATTTCCACCAGATCATGGAGATGTTCATTATGGGACAATAAACTGGGGCAAACAAGTAAGTCTTCCTAACCAGAAAGGTTCTCAGGCTGGCACAGTGGTGAGCAGACCAGCATCCAGTCCCTCTGTTCACAGGCTGGTGCAGCGACCCTGCCCAGAGGTTGAGAATTGCAGTGGGATATGCACAGGGAAATCATGACAATGCCATAAACACTTGTAAAACAAAGAACAAGCCAACATGCTCATGTAATCCATGTGGTGGGTTTAGTACTCCTTATCTTGAAATCAGTCCCTCTGGAGCAACACTCAAGGCTCTCTAAGCCCCCACTTCCACCCTGAGGATAAAAGGCAATCTGAAGCCATGGCTTTCCTTTGTTCATTTTGCTCCTGAACAATTTGTGAGCTGTCTAAAAACAAGGAATTTATCTTTTTACATATACAGTGCACAAAACTATAAGGAAGTCTAATGCACAGGATACATTAAATCAGCAATCGTAACACACATTTTTCCTTTCATCTTACGAAGATTAATTAACCAAGAAGAATTGTACCACATTTACTACCAAACTCCAAACTGAAAAATGTGTCCCTAGAACTGGAACACTATAAGAGTATTTCTGCCTGGAACTGGACAGATAAATTCAGAAACTGATTTCACACTGGAACTAGCAAAAACAAATTCTTCCCTCCCAGTATCCACAGGACCTATGTTTTCCAGCCTTGACTTGTTCCTACCTTCAGCCCTGTACAAACAATTTCTCTCCATCTGTAAGTACTTAAAACACTAAATCACAGGCAGGAACAATCATCAGTAACTTCTTCCTTGAAGAAAATATATCTAATTTTTGACCTATAGATATGTAAGACTTAAAAAAAAATAAATCACTGCAGTGCAGCAACAACCACTGAAAATACAACTTCACACAAAAGAATTTAATTTATTCTGAGTGGCAATTGCAATGTCATTTTTCCTTTTTATGTTTACAAATAGTAAAATAATTTAAAAAAAAAAAAAACAAAACACAACCAAAAACACCAACTTTGTTGCACTTCAGTTTCCCAAAATAAAACACTGAGGACTGAAGACAAATATTGTTTATAAAGTGATGGAAATTTCTTTAGTGAGGTAGTCCACAAAAAAAAATGCAAACAGTCATTTTAAGTGAAACATTTATAACCCTTATTTCAGTCAAACAGACGTGACTATATTAACTGAAGATTAGTCAGGCAACCAAAACGTTGATTAACATTTTCTTAGGATAGATAGTTTGGACAGCAGTTCAGCCAAAAGGGTGTATCATTAGTCAGAATCACTACATAGCCTAACTTACACCCCAGACAGAATGAAACATTAAGATGTTTAAGATGGTTAAGATGATTTGCAAGATGTGTGTTGAAGTCTGTTTTTTATTTATATGGTATAGTTAATACCATCTTTGGAAAAAAAATCTTAGAAGGGGCAGTTAGTTTGGAACAAGAAATGAATGATCTTCAGATCAAGACTAAAGTCCTTTGGCAGAGTAGAGTAGGGAAACTTCATGTACTACTTTTGCCCATATTGCAAGTATTTTTTGCACCACAGATTTGGATCTCTGCAACTTTTGCTAATACCTTCTCCGCCTCCCCTCACAAGTTGATTCCCTCCAATGCAGAGGTCTAAAAATCTTCACCACAAAGTCTCCTGCAATAAAATTTGAACTTTGAGGCAAAACTGTTCAATGCTACTTTACTGAGAAGACTAACTTAAAAAAAAAAAAAAAAGGAAAAAAACAAAAAACCAACAACCCAGCAAATTTAAAACAACTCCTTAGAAAGGGACTTTACGCAACCGTTTCTGGTTTGGCATTTACAAGTAAGCCAACTAACTGTTAAGTACATGTTTTGGTTGTCTGCAAATCCAGCTACTGACCCCCTTGAACATGTAAAATTAAACTTGGCAAAATAGACCATTGCTGCAACCAGGGAGACTGGCCAGTTCACTTCACATATACTCTACACATGCTGAAACTCATAGGGTTAGTCATCTGCCTTGTGCTCAGGGAAGCAAAGCATGACAGACCATGTTAAGCTGCACTCTTTGGAACAGTTCCAGTAAAATCCCCAGACAAACTGATCTGAGCTCAGTTTTGAGGTGTATCAGGGATTTCCATTACTTCTCAGTTAGTACAAGGTTACTCTTGCACTATAGGCAAGCAAGCCTGGGAGGCTCAAACTTTGGGCCTGCCAGTGATTCATGCTGGCTGTGTCCAAACAGTATGACAAGGGTGTTTCACAGCTCTTGGATAAATACATACGCCACAGTCACATCCTGACTCCAAACTGAAGGAAATGCAGCAGTAATTATGCCCTCCTATAAACTGACTTCTATGGAAACATAGTGCAGGCAACACAGGCTTGCTGTGGTCTAGCAGGTTCATCAGTTTGGATGATCAAGAGCCCAGAACTGCAGACCACACTGCCAAGCTGACCTACCTCACCACAGGCAAGTTAGACCACAATTAAAGAAAAAAAAAAGAAACAGAAGAAAGAAAAGGAAAAAAAGAAAAGACAGTCCTGTTGAAAAGTGAAACATCCTATCCCACATATACCCTACTGCCTGTATATAAGCCATTATGCATAGGAAGTAGTTTTATTTTCTGCTAATTGTACATAAAGGCTCAACAGGAAACAAAATAGCAATCTTCAAATACACACAAGAGATCTGCCAAGAGGAAACGAATCAGCTGTTCTTCCAGCTCAGTGAAGACAGAACAAATAGTAATAGGCTTAAAGTACCACAAAAGACACTAAGACATCAGGAAAACCTTCTAGCTAAACACTAGGATAAACTGCTTAAGTAGGTCTGAATTCCCAAAGTATTATTTCACTCCTAGAACAATGGAAAGGATTAGATCGCTCCTGAAATCTTAGAGCTCGTTAACTTTATAATCCTATTAACACAGAACTCAGGCTTGGAAATGCTTGGGTGCATACTTAGTTTTAACCATTGGATCAGTGAAACCCCATTGAAACCAGTGGGATTTCTCAGATTAAGCACCTCATTGAATACTGCATTGTCTTTTGTCTATTCTGCACTGGAGCAAACCCAACCAAAACCAAAACAGAATAAAACCAGCAATTTGAATCCACAAAATACTACGTATTAATATGCGCAGAATCAAAATTGATATCCTGAGGCCTCAAAATAGTCACTGAGCTAAAGTCACCTGTGCTCCTGCCTACCCCACCATAGGAAAAAGTGGATTGTTTACAGAGTCGTTAGTTTTGGGAGAGGTTTTGTGCTAGCAGTCTGAGATGAGCCTTCAGTCAACATCGTTTGGTTCAACTTTGACCACACATCACCCTTTCCTGGGCTGGGTTATATTGCAACATTTCTGGTTTTGCTAAGATTGAAATAATTTTAGTAGAGTACCTACAGATCCCTTTCATGCACTGGATAGAAATAACAAACAATAAAACCCTAAAATCAAGTTAATCAGCCAGAGTTGCCCTACAGCATTTACACCGTTAACTTGGACTGTGGATCTGCACAAGGCTCTTGGCTTTTTTATGCAGCCCTTGGGGGTACACAGTCCTCACTCTGCATTAGGGAAACCACCATCCTAGAGTCAGTTCCCAGCACACAGTCCTGAACAGCCTCTGTCCTCAGCACAGGATTTAATGACAAAAGCTTCCAGAACAGCCTGGCTACCACACTCCTACATGGGGCTCACTGGGGACCTTAACTCAAAGCTGGACAGAGGCTCCAGTTTCTGTCTTGATGAAGGCTCTGAAGTGTCAGCATTTGTTACTGCTCATAATCAGAAAAGTATTCATTTGGTATAAAAACATTCCAAAAGGAAATGTATTTTGTTTGACAGTGTTATAACTCCAATGAATAAATATAGCATGATTTAAATATCTTAACAGAAGACAAAAAAAGTCATGACATAAGAACAAAATGAAATGTTTCTACTTTACTAGAAATATCCTCAGCACATTATAACTTTAAAATCATCAAAATGAAAATAGTTTTGATTTGACACTTTTCAGACAAGAACATAATTGAACTCCATTCATCCCTACAACATATCTAAAAAATCATTTTCCAGTAGAATACTTTTCCATCAAGAATATTTAAGTCACTTCTATTAACAACTTACCCATACAACCACAGTTTGCAGTCAGCTTTAGCTTTAAGGCTGATTTGAAGATCCCACAGCAAAAATAGCACAAGAAATGCAGGCTCTTTTACTGGCTGGGAGCTCTGCTGTATTATTTGAGCCCGAGTGCTGATGCTGTAAACTACACAAGTCACTCCTCACACAGCACATACATAAATTACAGGAGCAGGCCCAGTGTGGAGCTCAGCCAGAGAACACAAGGACCTCATGGCATTTTGCACTTTTTAAAGAAAGTAATTCAGACAGCTTGCAAATAATGCTGTCCCACTGCTGGTGAAACTGGGACAGTGACCTGCCTGCATTTTGCAGCTCTGGGGTTGGAAGAGGCAAGGAAGTGGAAAGGACTTTAGAAGTGACCGGGGAGGGAGGCAGTTTTAAGAGCCTGAGACTGATGGACAGGTCCCAAAATATTCAGGACAGCGAGTATTGGAGTGCATGTAGGACAACAGCGAGGGTGACACATGGTAGAGCTGCCCAGAGCACAGGTATCTGTGAGAGACAGCAGGGTTCATGCACAGGCACGTCTTGCAAGTCAAGCCAGTGCTAGGACACAGGAGTGCTGCTGGGGTAGAGCTGCCTGATGTGTTAGTAAGCACCATCAAATGCTGGCTGAACAGGCATCCTCTGGTTGGCAGCTGCTCTTACTGTGGTAAGAAAGGCAAGCAGGTCCCAGGAATGCACAATAGTGAAAATAAACTCAAAAATTAAACAGAAGCAAAGAGCAGAGCTATGCAAATATACAATATCCTCACCCTTTCGGACACTGAGGTTCAGTAATGTCCTCACACTCTTCTTCAACCCAGCTTGCCTCTCCTTAAAACAAATGAGTGCAATTTATTTAACAGTACATTCTTACTGATAAATGCAAGGGTTTTTTTCATTTTACTGAATGCTTTTAAAGTAATGTCCTTGTTCCTTTCATACAAATATGGGTACATACGTAAAAGACTATAGAAACTTGTTGAGGATATTCACCTTTACAAACAGCATGATAATTGACACAACAATCATTTTTTTCTACACAATCATCTGAACAGGAACAATGGTATTCTGGTCGCCTCTTCTCTCCACACCTGAATTTATTGCAGGTCCATATGTGGGCTAAAAAACAGAGGAGAGACAAGAAAAGCACAATGATTAATACCCACACAGGTGCAGAATTAATAAACTGAGTGTTAAGTTCTGTCTCAAATGTGTACTTGCTGAAAAACAGTCCTGAGGTATGTCAGGCATGCGTAATATTGCAAGCTTTGGCACTTTGGAAAACAGAAACACCCACGGCTAAATAAACCAAGTGCATAGCCATCTGAATACAGTTATGCAGCATATGGTTATAAATATCACAGATCAGAAAGAATCCCTCTTACAGACCTCCTGAAATATGGCAGTTTGCATGGGTTTAATCTGGTAAATGCGTACTACAAAGAAGTACCCAAAAAACTATCCCAGAAAAAAAACAAACTTGAGTTTAACTTGGAATGCCTAGCAAACACAAAGCAGCAGTAGCTTGTTCTGGCTTGCACTGAAGTCACAATGGGTTTTGCCAGTCACCATCAGGCACTCCAGCTTCCTTCAGCACCTCTTAGGCATCACTCTGCCACTGTTTGAGCCTATATACATAAACTCAGGGGAAGATGTACTGACATCAGCTTCATTGTTGGTTTCAGTAGAGAAATTTTTCCCAAATCATAGTTATTTTTCAGAATAGGATATTCCAGTAGATGATCATTTTGTTATCAGTTGTCAACACAAGTAGATCCTTTGCAGTCAATGAGGATAAATATAAATGAATTTACCAAGTGAGTGAATAATTACGTGGAATTCTGTTTGACTAGAGGATAGTGATCTTCACACATGAATAGCGATTAGAAATCCCTAAAAGAATTTAAGTTAATCTCACTCAAATCAATATTCCTGAAAGTAACTCCAGTGTCAGTACAATCTCTATCTTCACTTCTGTGAGATATAGAAGAATCTACTATGGTTCTAGTTACATGATGCTATTTGGAAATTACAATTTCATTTATAATTTCATTCTCCACTGATGTTAAGGTTAATTAATTTAAAAAAAACAAACAAACAAACAAAAAAAAACCACACCACACAAAGCAATGAATTCCCATTCCTAGTACTGGAGATGGAATTCTTTAAATGGAGAGTGGTGTAATAAAACAAACTGAAGAGTAAATCCCACGCAACTATTCTATAAGCAAAAAGATTTATGCAATTTAGAGGACCTTTCAATAACAATCAGTTGTTGGGATCTGAGCTCAATTTAATCATTGTGTTGCAAAAGGCAACACTGGAATCTTTAACTTCAGGGTAAGACTACATTGATAAAATTTACAAATACATGAAAAGATGAGTGAGATGAAAAATAGCTAACTGAAAAGAACGCTTCATGTGAAGCATTAAGGAAAAAGTAAATTAGAAAACAGTCAGGTTCTGTCCATAGTGTTACTACCGGCATTAACTTCTTTCCCTGTGAAATTTCTCCATGGTATTTTTCACACCTTTGCCTATCTGACGTTTGCTTTCTGTCAAATCATGAGAACTACTTCTCACTTTGCATTCCATCTCCACTAGTGCAATCTGGTCATCCTGCCTTCTCCCAAAGGCCAGTACATGACCCTTGCTCCACATTCAAGTTGGGGAATTACGAAGCAGAGGGCCTGATTAGCCAAGCAAGGAGAGATGTCAGCTTTCACAGAGCTGCTCTGTCCTTCCCCTTTTTCATGCAGGCCATGAGAAAAAGATATAACATGCAGAATGGACACTCCCATTCCCGGCTTGCCTGACAACGTAGGAGTTGTCCCTGATGCCGGGGACAAGGCAGGTCACTGTTCTCTCACCCCCGACAGAGAACAAAAGGCTGGCTGAGATCTTGAGCTGCAGTTGTTCCTCCCGATTCCGAGGGGGAGGGGGAGCACCCTTGCTCGCAGCCTGTCTCCCCACAGGAGCTATGGGAATGCCACTCAGCCTGCTGGTGATGCCAGCTCCTGTGTAGTCCAGCTGGGTGAAATACAAGCTTTGTCTCTGCACAACAGCAGCTGCACCAGAGCCTTGACATTTCCACAGGAGTCCCCCCAGCACTGCCATCACTACTGCAACTCCACTCATGGTTACAACGGAGAGAGCACAAAGAGGGGGAGACCATTGGCATCAGAACCACCTTGCTGCTCAGCAGCAGCCCTTTGCACTCGCAACCCATCTGAAAGAAGTCCAGGGCTGCGGCCACCTGACCGCAACAGTACTCACATACGCAGAGCTGTCGTACGTCACAGAAGAGGAGAGTTTGCCCCCACAGCTCTTTTCCATCCTTACCTGGTTGTATACATGTTTCCTGGTAATCTAAGCAGCAGTTTCCAAGCTTGACACAATCTCTATCACAACGGCAGCTTCCAAAGGTCCTTTCAAAGCAACGACCTTTGCAGGTTTTCACTGTAATATTGGATAGTGTTAGATGTCAGTGGCTGAGCCCAAATCAGTCAACATGCAAAAGAAATGAAGAAGGTCAGCAAGTGGAACACAGCTGGTCATCCCACAACTAACAGACTGGCTGCAAAAACAGTGACAGCCAAAGGAAAAGTTAAGTCTTGATCTAACCAAATGCTTATTTTCTCTTATTGAACAAAACTATTTTTTCATCATATTGAAAAAAGGGTTCTGTTTTGGTTTAGCCAGAACATGGTGTTTCATTATTGGCAGAAGCAAGTGAAACAAAAACTGCAATTCTATTTGTGACTGTCCCTGCCTTTTTGTATCACCAGAAGACATGAGCAGTCATTCAGAGTACAGAAGACCCCTATTGAAGGAAATCTGAACCTAGGTGTTTTCTATAAGGGTGCCCTAAACAGTGAAGTGTTTTTGCAGAGAACACCAATCTTCATTTTCACATCTGACAATGTCCCTTTTTCTATAAATAATTAAACATTAATTAGAATCTAGACTGCATTGGCTATACTTACAACTCTCCCATGTTCATGCCCTGTTTGGATGACTGTCTTCATATGGATCAGAGGAACTGAAGAAGCCCCAGTTCTGCATCCCACTGTACCACGGTTAAGGTACTATCTCAAGATGCAGGAAGGGCTGCTCCAAACCAGACACGGGAGAGATGAACCTGAGTGTACTGCTCACTGGTGCTTTTATTTTTTCACAGTTTTAATGTTAAAAAAAAAAAAAAAAAAAA